CATGCAAATACCCGCCACCCGTGAGAAATCGACGTGAAGCCACCCGGCTGGGGTTCCCCGACCCAAAGTGCTCAAAAGGCCCAAAGTCTAATATAACACCTGGGGAACCTATGCCGCTCAGCCTATACCGCGCTCAGCCTATACCGCTCCGCCTATACCGCTCAGCCTATACCGCTCCGAGGAACCTCAATGGTGCCCACATGACACTCAGTCATACGGTGCCTCATTTTATTAATGGGCGCCTTTATAAGAGGAAACAGCAGACAGATGCAGCTCACCGCTAACCTGCCTGTATCAGTACCGCAAACCTCCTGAGCGAAGGCCAATCGGGCTGACGAGCCCAGAGCAGAAAGCAGGCCTCACCCCCCCCCCCCCCCCCCCCCCCCCACACCTGCGAGAGGAGCACTGCATCATGTGATCTTGGCTCGGGCGACGTACATAAAGCAGTTCCACTGGAGGCAGATGGTGCAGCGCTAATGGAATGCATCACCCGACTTCAAACATTCTGAAAACATCTTGTCATCTTACCTCACAAATATAACGACGTAGGTTCTGGCTGCCGTTCCCTTAATTTCCTCTGAGGATTTTTCCTTCACCCATAAAAAATAAATAAAAATAAAAAATGTGTTCTCCCCAGCACAATTTACTTCAGTCATTTATTTTCACATCTATAAATACACAGTGATGGATCGGCATTTCACGGAGACCACGCGCTCCAGAAATTGCGAATATTTATACGGGCATATTTCATGCTGCTAAGCAAACACGCCGGTTTACGTCGGCGCAGTCCGACGCACCTGCAGCACAAAGCCGTGTAAATACAGTCGCCTTCAGAAACAAACTCACCCACCCTTGTGGCCAATAAAACCAGGCCGTTAAAGAAAAAAAGGAAAAAAAAAGCCAATGGTGCTAAATTACAGGCCGCCGTGGCAACTTTCCCGCGGTGGGTCCTGCGGTCGGCTGGGCGGCACGTGTGCCTGTCAGGTGCCCGAAGGAAAAAAAAAAAAAAAAAAAACACAAGGGCCACAATCAAGCCAGGTGGCACTTTTCTTCAACTTTCCTTTAAGTTATTATTATAAATATATTTTACGAGGATTCGTTCTAAGTGGGATAACAAGTTTAACAGGCAGACGGGGTCGGGCTCCCAGCGAACTCCCCGAGAAGCTGGCGGGCCGGCGGTCCGTCCACCGACTCCCATTAAACCCCAGTAGAGCTCTGATGCCTTTCAGCTGCGCCCTAATTCACTGCGAGCAAAAGTTAATTTAACGGGGTGCTGCCTCTTTCTGCTGCGCGCTCGGCGGTTAATTGGGGATGGAGGAGGGGATTGGAGGGCCGCAGCCCGCTGAGAGATCACTGCCTCCGCCTCAAACCGGGCCCCTTATTAGCAGGAGCCTGTGTTTACACAGTAGTGAAAGGCTACCGGAGTGGGGGCCCAGCATCTCGCTTTCGCGTCCTCATGGGGAGCCACACACCGCTTAATGTTCCCCCCTTTGTTCTGCGCCGTACGGTAAACGGCCCTGACACTCTGGGAGGGCCAAGACCCACAACTCCCACCGCTTTGATTTTAATGAGTGCTTCGGCACCCCCACCCCGCCCCCCCGCCGCCCCCAACCAGGGCACCAGAAAAGTTCTGCACATCATCTGGGCCTCCCAGAAATCGGGGGGGGGGCTGGCTTTTTGAACAATCAAACGCGTTCAGCAACGTTCTTTTAGCAAAGGTACTATAAGACCGGGACTGGAGGGAAACAGAACAATGAGGAGCAGAAAGACAGGGTGCTGGGGGGGGGTCACTGGCATGTCATGTGACCCTCTGCCATGGTGAGGCGCCATCTCCCGCCTCCAGCCACACCCACTCAAACTCCTCGTCTTGAGGACAGAGGATGCCACTCTCAGGCTTTTAAGAAGTCCTCAATATGACACAACCCCAGCCAACAGCTCCATTTTAGTGCACGGGTGTGCGCGTGTGCGTGTGTGCATGTGCGAGACATCACCCTCTCTCTGCTCACCAAGACCTCCATCCAAACATTAAAAAACCCATTCAGAGGTAGCTTTCTGGAACGGGCTGCCCTCCCCTCTGCACCTTGCTAATTTTAAGCTGGCGAGCGGTGAACTAAGGCCAAAAGAACATGACATCTTCGAGGAACTTACATCACCTTCTGAGCGGCTCCCAAAACAAACATAAATAAATGAAATTAAACACCACCTGCTGGTGTTGCTGTTTATGCAGAGCAGCGCCTGTCACCTCTGTCAGACCTCGCATTCAGGGCACAGACGGGACCGGCGGTGAGTCTGCCTGACCGGTTCATCGCCATCCATCTCCCCCCCCCTACAATAAAGTGTCAGCTCCCATTAATAGCCTCTGGAGGGAATTCAGCGCTTTTTGGAAAAAGGAGGTGAAAAAGCAGGGATGGAAATCGAAAACGGCTCTGCTCAGCCACAGTCAGGTTCGCCGGAGAGGGGGAGGGGTTAGCGAATGAAGGAGTTCGTGCCTTGTAACCTTTTAAAACAACAGGAGCTCATTATTATCTTGGCAGGGGGCGGGCAGAGGGGAGCAGGAGGTTAACTTGAAAAGAATCGGCGTTTAAAAAGAAGTGCGTCGGGGGCCTGTCAAAATATCGGAAGCCAGTCTTAGAAGCTTTGGGGGGGGGGACCGGTATTCGAAATTGAAAATGGGACGAGGAAAGCAAGCAGGGCAGGTAAAAAACAGCATGACCCCAGGAGAGGCCAGGCAGAGCGGACTCCCCCCGCCAGGCCCGAGCGGCTAAAGGCCGTGAGCGCACTGCAGACCTAAGCTATGGAAGACATATGAAATGCATTTCTCTGACGTCAAAGCGGCCTC